TAACCCTATCGACAACATCTAGACTTGTCTGTGCCATTACTAGCGGTACCTTAACATAACTATCTTAAATACATAGCCATAACGACATTTCTCTTTTCGGCAGAGCCATGGTACTTAAAGGGTTAAACGAGACGTAAAACAGTGTCTGGTATATAAAGTACTTTTTTACACTAGAAAATGGGACCTATTTAGATAAGGGAACAGAGAGCTGAATTTACTGTGTACATCCTCTGAATTTACTACCTGACCCGCTATTTATACTGATTTTTCCTTTTCAGATAAAGATTATAACAAGATCAAAGCATTGTCTGCTCGCATTAAAATTTCATTGCACTATGGTCTCGAAGAAAAGTCCGAGTAAGACATAGTGCAATCGTAGATAACAAACGGTGACTAGAAAAATATGGAACTAGTACGTACCGATGCAACATAGCATGCCGTCCGCACTGGTAGTGCCGGACGTTTTTCAGCACTATACTGGGAATTTTCTGTAGGAGATTCGATCATGTTTCTCATAAGAATCCTACAAGAATCTTATAAGAATCGTATAACAATCTGATAAGAATAACGTACGAGTTTTGCTAACTCTTACCAATTTCTTATGAATTCTTGTGAGATTCTTATACGATTTCACGAACTTTTTTGTCTAGGGAACGAACTCCAGTGCTAAGCTTTTCTCGTCGCCCATACCGCCATTTATGCTAGAAATTCCCTCCTACGAGACATTTTTTCTTGGCACGATAGGGAACCATTTATTCCCAAAAAAGTGTGGGTAAGCCATTTATTCTAGAAACGGCGCAATTTATTTATCTAGTAATAAATTGTAACTGCTGTAAAAAAAAAAGTAAGCCGTCTATGGTTGATTAAATTGAATATCTTTTGTTGTCTCACAAATACAGATGTATTCAAATGTGGTGTTTATATGAACTGAAGTGAACTGAAGTTTTATTTTTGCAAGCATGGTTGTTACAAAGGAAGGCTAGCTTATGCTAATGCAGTACCGAAAACAGTAAAGAAATAAAGAAACACTAAAAAGAGCAAGTTACATTTGAAATATAAATTTATATGACAGACTCATATATGGCATCAAAAAGAGATGGTACATTTTAACACATTTTGTTGATAAGGCACAAAAAAAGACAGATCAATTATAAAAGTTGATGTTGTTTCAAAAGACTCTTATACATTCTGTGACTGGTTTGATTCACAACGGTGCATGGTAGCACATTCCAGTCGTCAGTGGTACGAGAAAAAACTGCCCGCGAAGCGGACTTTAAGAAATAGTAAGGTTTTTGAATTTGCTTATCATGCGTTATTCTAGACGAACGTCGATTTGTTGGCGGAGTAATTAGGTTTCTAGCAGACAAAACACTTCTCTCGTTGTATAGTTTATGAAAATAAGCAAGACGAAAATATTTTCTTCGAGTGGAGAGCGATGCTAAATTTAGCCGACTAAGAAGTTATGAGGAACAATTGCACATTTTTTTTTTGATTTTATATCAGGCTCATAATCTCTAAGGATTATTCAACAGGCCAACTTTTGTACGTTATCTAACACAGAGAGATGAGAAATATAAGACATATCATATATTACGATGGGATTATTACTGATCAAAAATAAATCTTTGCTTTAGTATGAGTCTGATCTGAGGGAATCTCTATTCATATGTATCATTTTTTCATGCCTTTCTGCTTTGAAAAAGATTTTCGGTTTTGATTTTGAAAAACAAGAATCGATTTCACCTCTGGCACTGCTTTTAAATACAGCGGCGATTGCAGACAGATCGATTACGAGAAAACTTTTAAACACGATCAGAATAGATAGAAAATATCATTGGATATCGAAAAAGCATTGATTTGAAGTAAAGATGCACAATTAATATTATGAAGAAATAATAAGAGGTTTCATGATCTATCGCCATACTTCTTCAAGAACAAAACACAAACGACTGTGTAGAATAACATTATTGAGGTGACTGAAGTGGTTGATGTGGATGTTGAAACTAAAGGTACACTAGTCCCGATTGGATATTTAACAGCAACAATATTTTCTCTTGCGACTGGGTTAGATCATAAATGTTTACTAACAGTTCTCATGATTATTATCAATGCTCAGTTTTGAATGAAAATAGCTAATTTACACGGTTTGCAAAATAATCCTTTGTATTTTTAGCGCAACAGATTTTATGTGAGAATCAGAAATTTTTTTGATGAATATCTCATCAAAATCAAAACGTTAAAATTAAAATGAATTATTTTCTACCAAACAAAGAAGAAGTACAAACAGACAGTTATGAAAAATCCAGATGCTTTGAAAGATTTAACAGATCTAAAATTTACAGTGCACAGTACTTTCTATGTTTTATTTATACCAATATACCACAGATTTCAAAATTGACCGAAAGATTATTGTTCGGATGTTTTTTCTCATTTATCATGGATCGATCACACTATCACAAAATGTATTCTATTTATTTATTTTGACCCAATGATTTATAGTATGATGCTAAAACGTCCCATGCGGCATTGACCATAAAACCATCAGGTGGAGATTCACCGTTTCTTGCTATTTGTCTCATTTTTGTGCCTGATATAAAATCAAAATCGGCATGTCGTGACGAGTCATAGAAATCCATCTTTTTTGTCGTTTTATTATAAGCAGCTACTTTAAATGGTAATATTTGTAGCTGATTTAGTCCAGGTGCCATTGTTAATACTTTTGAACCATGAGTAGGTTCATAGAGATCCTTTGATTTTGTTTGTGGATGTGGCATACCTGCAGGATCTCTACCGACAATATAAAAATTTGCACCTGCTGACATACGAGATTTTGCGTGCCATTGAACTTCTGTTGGACCAGCATATAACATGGGCGAAGGAAATATGGCCAAGACTGTTCGAGAACGATCAAGTACATCCTCTTCATTATCTAAAACAGCTTGATGTTGAGCCATACGAATGGGTAATGGAACATCATCTTCTTTGGTCCATCCACCTTAAAGAAGAAAAGATGTTACAAATGTAGATGATTATACCTAAAAATATTTCACCTAGTGGATGTAAGAGAAGGACAGGATTTTTAAGTCCTTTTTCTAGGAGTAACTGTCTTGTTGTCTGCATCAATAGTGCATGACCATTATGAATTGGATTTCGTAATTGGAAAGCAAATACAGAGTCAGCCTTGAAAAAAAGCAAACTATAAGAAAGAACAGATAAATGAGATGAAACTCACTTTAATATCACGAAAACGTTGCCGTAACTCATTTGGTGTTAAACGAAAATGATCTAAATCATCATTCCATCGTATACGTTCAAAAACTTCCAAATCACCACCAATTACCCAATCTCCACTGTCCATAATCATCTAAAATAATGAGAGATTAACGTATGCCAATTAGGCTTACACCGAATCCAATATGTTTGGGATTCGGTATAAACTCAGATTTAGATCAAAATTCAAATTCAGCTCAAATTTTTTCATTAATCATATGGAAAAAGTGAGACATTTTGAGCGTACTCAAATGCGAACCTCCAGCAAAACTTTAAGTTTAAGGCAGACGTAATTCCAATAAATCAAGGATTTTTTCAAATCAATTTACTTTAATATATGGATGACCAGGATCATAAATTCCAAATATGCGTGAACAACGTTCTTCTTTTCGATGTTCATGATACTCAGGTTTTTTCAAAATAGCTACTGGCTTATCGTTGTAGTATAATGCAATCACTGATGCATTAGATGATTCAAAGCGTTCTTTATCTTCGGTTGTGCAAGGCAAAACAATAGGAATAGTTTGATTTTCAATATGACCTGAAGTTAGATAACATGTTTAGCAACAGACAGAACAATATTGAAACAAAAAGAAGAGAATTCAATTCCGATTTTTCAATGTCGAAACTGAATTTTTTAACTTATTGATTCTCATTATCTACCTGTCATTAAACATCCAAAATGTAAACATTGTAAATATTCTGTTTCACGCATAAATCCAGAAAGTGGAGTTGCCCAACCTTCACTCAATACCTGAACCCATTGTAAATCCAACTAAAACACGTTAAATAAATCATGAAATGAGTTATCTGGATTGGTTATAACATACTGACATACTTCAGTTATTGATAGTTTAGGTATATTCGGCAACTCTTCTTGTATTTTCGTTTTCGTTTCTTCATCCATAAATAATTCTCGTACAGATGAAATTAATGTTGGTGATAAAATATTCTGAAAATTGAAATATCTTTTTTTAATGATTAGATACAATAAATGTAGAGCATTGACATACTCTTTCAGCCAATTTTGCAATAATTACTTCCATACATTTTTCAACCGTGTTTGTTGTAGTGTCAACTACAACATCCGGATGTAATGGAGGTTCGTAAGGAGCATCAATGCCGGTAAATCCTGCACAAATTCAAAAAAAAATATCACGCACTGTATATAGATTAATATAGTTCAATCATTGTAAATAGATTCTAAAAAGCAGTTGAATATTGGTATAACTCCATAGACAGCATTTCTAATTAGAGATTCTCACTTTTTGTCCTTATTGTTTTCTCTTTATTAGGCAATATCCAGTTTAACGTTCATTTTATTTTCTATCAGTTAGGAAAGCGCATGCTTAATATGATTTAGTACACGCTGCATGTCTCTGTGAAAATGTTTATTTTCTAATTCGAATTCTTTCTGTATACTATTATAGATGCGGTTTTCATTTTCTTACTAAAAGTTTGTTCAGATTAGGGAGGCAACGGTAACGGTTGACAACCGGTCTAACCGGTTTAACGGTTACCGGTTCTGACCAATTACCGTTGCCGGTCCAACCGGTTCTGACCGGTTACCGTTACCGGTCTAACCGGTTTAACGGTTACCGGTTCTTACCGATTACCGTTACCGGTCCAACCGGTTCTGACCGATTACCGTTATGGATCTAACCGGTTAACTAACTGAATAGTGATAACGGGAATAAGAAAACAAAGTAGAAAAGAGAAAAGAAAAGAAAATCGCTATTTGTGTCGCAGCTCTAATAGTCCATCTATTTTCTCTTGCTCGTGCTAGATATAATCTATTTTTAAACAAGCATTCACATGTGAGTTCTTAAGCTAGTTTGAGTTACACTGATTGTTACATGTTAAAAAGTGTTTTTCTTCAACGTTATATTGATTAACAGAGAACTGTGATTAAAGAAACATTTATTTTGTGTTTTGAATTATGTAGCAAATATTCCATTTGTTTTTCAAGTTTATTGCTACCGGTAACGGTAACCGGTAAGAACCGGTTGGATCGGTAACGGTAACCGGTAAGAACCGGTTGGATCGGTAACGGTAACCGGTAAGAACCGGTTGGATCGGTAACGGTAACCGGTAAGAACCGGTAACAGTAACCGGTAAGAACCGGTTGGACCGGTAACGGTAATCGGTAAGGCGCGGTTACCGTTACCGTTGCATCCCTAGTTCAGATATGGATATTTTAGTTGTTTCTTTATTAGTTATCTTCCTATCGGTGGATAAAGACAATAACTTGGCACAAACTTTGGTTCTTAGTATTTAAATTTTATGGAGTTAAAGCATCAAACAATTCAACATCCAGTTTGCATACTCAAAAACAGCAATGAACAACAGAAAAGGAATAATTGAAATGAACAGTAACAACTAAAGAATATTAGTAATCCTCTTATATGTATTTATGTAGAAATAACTGATAAAAGTATCTACCGGGTGGGCCAGAATAAATGAGGGTCTCAGTATTTTACTTATAACTTGGTTTGAATTTGTTTTCAAGACTCGATGTTTTTTAAAAAGATGCGCTGCGAAATACTCTATAAAATCATACCTAAACTTTAATCTCAGAACTTCGGTCTAGAAAAAAAACTAAGCCAATTAGATGAAAGTCAAAAAAATGAAAACCTTTCAAACTCAAAAATGGTTTCTTGTGTTCACGTTTTGAAAGTAAGAAAAACTAAATTAGCCATTTTGTAGCCCTGACTTCGCTCTATCTTGTAGCTATACTTCAAATTTTTTCACATCAGAAGCCACGGCGAAATAATAGTTTTTCTGTCGGTTATCATGCATTTTTTCATTAATTTTTTAAATTTTGGGTATAGTAGTGCTTTCAGTAAAAGTCCATCAAAATAAAAGCTTTTCCGGTCGTTTTTTTCTTAGCAGCATACCATTGCTCTAAAAAAAATTTTTACAGATCGCAAGAAAGAGCACATTTGAGAGTACCAAACATAGACTGAGTTCTCACTTTTGCTACACTTTTTAGTGGAAATATAGTAGCAGAAGAAAAAGTTCAAGTAGAAAAAAAATTTGAGTTTGGAACGTTTTCATATTTTTCGACTTTCCTCTAATTGGCTTAGTTTTCTTGATTGAAATTCTGAAATTATAGTTTAGGTATGATTTCGTAGAGTATTTTGCAGCGCATCTGTTAAAAAAACATCGAGTCTCAGAAACAAATCCAAATTAAGTTATAAGTAAAATACTGAGACCCTCACATTTATTGTTACTTTGTAAAAAAAAGATAAGTTGCTTGCTACACATAATTTGTAGCAGTTGATTGGCGTGAAATATCAAACATTTTGAAGTGTGCAAAAAAGAACTTAAAATATTACCTTTAATTGTTCCCGCTCTTGCTTTATGATATAAACCTTTAACATCTCTTGCTTCACATATTGCCAATGGTGTACTAACAAATACTTCTATAAATGGTAATTTCGCACGTTCATGCAGTTCTCTAGCGTGCTCACGATCCTGGAAAGAAAGAAAAAGATGATTACTTAATGATGAGAAAATAATCTAAATAAGTACCTATTTCAAAAATCGGTATAGGTCGTCGTTTTTTTGAATAAGTTTCGACTGAGATATACAAAGACCTCTATTTCTCACAAATCGATCAAGGAGATCCAGGCATAAATGTTAACCGGTTCACAGTTTTTGAACCGGTGGTCGATACCGGTCTCAGTATTGTCGACCAGACCGGCCCGACTCAGTGCGACCAGCCACCGATCTGCTGGTCGGTTTATGTCTTTTTCCTCAACTGAACCGGGAGTTTGAATCGATCAAATCGGTACCGATTACAACTATGCATCGAGGGACCTTTTTCATGAAAAATAAGTTTGAAAATCTTTTTCTAAGGTAAGATTTTTGAAAAGTCTCTGAAATGTTAATAAAAGTGGAAGTACGGTAGAGTAAAAGAGAACGTCTTTTATTTTTTTATAAAAGTTTTTGGGAACTTCAGAACTACGCATAGATTCTTTTACAAGAACACGTAATATGGCACCAATGGTGAGTTTCCACGAAACCGGATGCCAGATCCTAACGACGAAAAATGAAGAGGTCGGTTGCGAGGTCCTCATTTATAACACACTTGAGATCAATGTTTTTTACAGATATTTCTTGAGAAAGCTATCCTCTGATTGAAAAAGATGCGATCAAGTCACTTCTTTCAAATGGTAGAAACTGTAGATCTTTATTTATCTCCGACCAAAAGTTATTTGAACTACAAGCGATGCTATTACTTTTTGACAGATAGTAGTATCTTTTGTGTTTTCTCTGAAAATACTACACTGCTGTTGGTGACCAAGGATTCGTGTGAAAGAAGAAGAACATTTGAAACACAAAAGCAGCATTGTTATTCTTCTTCGTGTTAATTCGCTGGTTAGCTATCACTATCGATAATCTATGTCTAGTTATTTTTGACGTTTCTCCAGATCGTCGCACAACAGTCGTAGGATTCCGAGGAAATCTGACGCCACACCAAAGACATAATAGATGAAGAGGTCGAACGACTCATATTTTTGGAAGGATACTCAGCTATTTGTCTGGGTAAAAGTAACGTATTGCTACTCGAAATTCTCATATGCCTTTCATCACCTTTTTGAATCTTTTTTTCGTAATACTTCACAAAAAATGACAAACTGTACCACTTTTTGAAATGAATAGTAATTCGTCTTACAGATGCGGTCTGTACAGCAAGATATATTCGCGGATCAGTTTAAAAAGATTCATCAATAGCCTAGGCTCTCAAATCGCCAGCAGTATCATACTACTTCTACTTTTTACATATATTACTGCATAAAGTATCTGAAAAAGAGTGAAGTACCTTTTCAAATGGTGAAATAAATGCCACAATACACATGAGACCGGCATCAGCAAAGAGTTTTGATACTTCTGATATACGTCGAATATTTTCTTCACGATCATCGGCAGTGAAACCAAGATTTTTATTTAAGCCACATCTTATATTATCACCATCAAGACAATACGCTGGTAGTCCTTTACTAACGATATATTCTTCTAATGCAAATGCGATTGTTGATTTTCCAGCCCCCGATAAACCTGAAATAGAAGAAAAGCATGTACTTTTACAGTGCTTTTACTTAACTCCTCTCCCGGAAGGCCTATTTTCATCAAATTAATTCTGATCATGATAAAACTTCCAGTGCATATCGGATGTCGTAGATAATTTACTGTAAAAATTTCGAGGTTATATTTCATATGATTCGTCAGTTACTGCTTTAGTAAGGATCAAAATAGGTCTTAAGAATTTTTTCATTCTCTTCGATGCTAGAAGGTTAGAGATGGTTTCTTTTGCTATAAGGAACTTGCGGTTACAATGCCACAGAGTCGATTTTTCAAATATTTTTTCAAGTATCATGGAAGAATAATCACTGTTCTCATCGCAAAACTATCATCAGATATAATTTTATCTTAAAACATTGTACCTGCAAGTTTCCTCTAGAAAAACAAAACTCTCCACATATCTGTTCTGTTCTTTCATGATTTGTTGCATTTCTTTTAACAGTTCTAAGTGTACATATTCACGCACATATACACTAAATTTCTCATAGCCAGTAACCTAAAGTGTTAGAAGTGTGACAAAATATTACTATTTTATTGAAATATTATGTGCATCTGCTGAAGGATATGCCACACATATCTCTGTACAAACCTCTCAAACTTAGTTTAGTCAATATTGCTGATGTTGATTGTTCAAAAATATGTAATGAATGATAGAAAAAAAACTAATTCTTCTCATACTGCTTCCAACAAACTGTTTAGAAAATCGCAAAAAATCGTTTCTATAGAGTTCAAAGTTGGTTTAAAAAGTGGATACTTTGCGCCATGTCTTTTTCTCGAAATCGATTTTTCTAACAGAATGAGGTCTTAACAGACTAAGATTGCTAATGACGACAGCAAGCAGACCTGTTAGCCATACGGTTGATCCACGGAATGCTCCGCGTTGTCCGAGTGCAATGGCTCGTCTTTCATGCGTGATCTTTGAATTTTGATAATAGATGTTATTTAGATCCTAAACGAGAAAAAAAATAATTATTTGACTTCAACTTGGTCATCATTAATCACATAAAAACAGGTTAATGCAACTCTTGCTAACACTAACATAGCTAATGAGCACATTATATCTGGCGTTATAAGTAATAGATACAAAAAAATTTTACTATTTTTAATTTTTTTAAGAAAAGCCTTAAACCACATTCTTTTTTTTATGTAACGACGAGAGCAGAAAATCTCTAGCAATAAATAATTTTAGATTAGCATGGATGATAAATACTGCAAAGTAAATCATAAGAAGTTATTTGTAACAAACAGTTTTCCTGCGAAAGTTTACGCTAGTATCAATTTGAGATTAGTAAATCCAAGCATCATGTAAACAATTAATTATTACACCAAATGACCAAATAGTAACAAATAGTATGATTAGATTAGAAACAAAAAAAAAATCTAACTACTTCACCATGATAAAGAATTGAGAAAATCTACGAACGAATACAAATTTATCTGAAATAATTCTATCATTCTCAACTTTTTACTATCATTTTGCAAAGTACACATTTGAAACTAAGAAAGAGCACTTAGACTCACCGTTAGGCAATAAAAACAAAAACTATTTCTCCGTAGTTTTTCAAACAAAAATCCAAATGAATCAAATCTAAACTAAGAAGAAAAAAAACAGAGCTTTTTAACAAAAAAATTTGTTCTAAATGTCGTTACAACCTCTATCAATTTTGAAATTAAAAATAACTGTAATTATCTTCCTGCTGATCAGTTATGAATGAAACCTTCTATTTTTGGAGCCATTCGGAAAAAATACCCATTTTGACACTCGATGAGCAGCCAAAAGACATGTGTGCTCAAATAAGCAAGCCTTCATTGGAAGGACACGTATGTACCCCGTAAAAGAAAAATCGTCGCGCGTCATTAAGTTAGTGTAAGACGATGTCAATCAATGTTATAGTAGAATAAAACAAAAAAAAAAAGTGTGTTGGCCGTAAAAGAAATCATCAGAAACTTATCTCGTCCCACTACTAATTACAGCCCTCTTGTTTATTCATCCATCCACCCGCCCATATCAAATATTGATTTTTAATTACTGTAAAACTATGTCGATATGACGAGACGTTCCTAATAAGTCTTGACGGATATTTCGAAAATGTTAAATATTTGATTAAATCATAAAACTTTGATAAAAGTTAAACTTCGATCAATGAAATGGAGAAAAAAATTAAATGTTTTTATTAATGTATAAATTTCTTTTTATTAAGTAAATAAACCATTGCATAGACCGAAAAACAAAAACTATATCCAAAACATAGTTTTTGAAATGTTTTTCCATTTACTTTTTGATACTTTTGTAAACGAACTGTTTTTCTCAGTTTTGAAATTTTTTTATTCAATCGATATTTCAGATGATGAGATATTTGGAAAAATAGAATTTTTGTATCAAAAATGTAATTAAAACGAAACTTTGAATACACTATTCAAGGTCTATTTGCAGCTTTGTTTAGTTCAAACTCTGAAACATCAAAAAATGATCGACGAAACGTATTAAAAAATCAGATTGCAAAGATGTTTTCAGTGTTGTTTCGTATCTAAATTTCATTACAACAAACAAAATTTCAAATTTAAACTTTTTTGGCCTCTTTTGTTCTTTATAGATTTTACTCTTTCAAACGAACAAAAAATTCAAGCCGATCCTACTTGAAAATCGCTCAGAAATAAGACTCAATATTATTTCAAAGATTTTTGCATCATTATTGATTATGGGTAATTTAAAATAGACAATTGAATTGTCATTCAGCGATACTTCCTTGATTGTTGATAAACTAGACATATAACATTGTTGTCTAATGCTCCTCATACAGAGTGAACTCACTTGGATTTGATAAATTTTGTAAAAGAATACAATCAATGATAATTGATTATTTGAATAGTGACATTTGTATAGTAGCTAATTAATTTTTTTTCCTCAAAAACAAAAAAATCGAACTGATGAAAACATCGGTCAGCAAAATTACGATTGGAAAAGATAATTTTATCTGTTGAATAATAGCTCAAAAATTAGATATTAGCTAATAAATATTATTTGCAAACTATCAACGTTTAATAAATAAATTTTATTAAATATACATTTTTGTTAATGTTTTAGAATAAGAAAATCTGTATTATCCTTTCTAATCTCAAACAAACTTTTTAATAATATAAAATGAGTTTTCATATTTTCAAAATGAGCATTTTCTTTACATATCATCTTGTTAAATTACTTTCATTTCTGAATATGAATAATCAAATGATGTATTTCTGATGTAAATTTTTTTTTTCTTTTATTTATCAAAAAACTGAGAGAAAAAAACGAGAAAGAAATAAAATAAAACAATAATAGTAAGAAGAAAAGAACAACTTCTCTCTCAATAAATGATCACTGTGTTTAGATAACATTGAATATTTTCTTCAAGTCAATCATTAATTGCCAATCAGTTTTTTGCATTTCATCACGAAAATAATCTTTAACAACATCAATTGTTTCACGAGATATCTAAATAAGAAAAAGTAATTAAATTATGTATAAAACAAATTAAAAATTAAAATTAAAATTAAAATTCTTCATACTTTGCTCATTAATGTATCCGTTTCATCAAAATGTCTTCCAAACATTTTTGGTGCTTCACCACCAAGCGGTTCAATTTTAATACAAACTTCTTGTCCTTTTCGTGCAACTTCTAATGATTTATGATTTAACTCAATACTTATAACACGTCCAAGATCAACAAACTAAATAAACAAATAAAGTTTTATATTATTAAAGTTAAAATATTGATCGTTAATTTAACACACCTCTTTTGATGGTACACAAATGGGTGTTCCTAATTTAATAAATCCATCTTCAATAATAACACCACAAATAATTGGATCACGTGAATTAAATACATATTGTGGTAATACTTTTAATTTACATGGAAATACAGCTAAATGACGAAATTTTTCTTGATTTTCTTTTTTTCGCTTTTCACGATGTGTAGTAAACATATCAAATAAATGATAGATAATATCAGCTTGAAATATGGTTACACCTATAAATAGAGACTAGAAGTAACATATCGATTGAACATAATAAAAATATAAGCACTTTTATAAATTAGATAATATTCTTACCAACATTATCAGCATGTTCTTGTGCATCACGTTCAATTTTAACATCAAATGCCAATATGACAGCCCATCTAAGAAATGAAAAAGTAGTAAATAATAATTTAATGAACGTAAACAACTTGTTGTTTTCTTCTCACTTACTGTGGGTCTCTTTCAAGCATTGCCGATGCTCTGATGACATCTTTTCGATGTACTGGACCAATACTGACACCAGCATACTAAAACAACAACAATTTCGTACACTAGCCAAAATAAACTTAATAACAAAAAACGTACTGGAATATTTGATGTTTTTAAAAATTCAAGTAATGCTTCCAACGAGCCAAGAGTGGACGCTTGGACATGAACACCATTATCTTTTAATTTAATTGAACTTAATGCTGTTTTCAATATATTTTGAATTTCATTCTATAACGAAAAAGAGAGAGCAAATAATTTAAATATAAATGTATGAATTAGACAATAAATCTATTTTACCTTGTAATAATCAATTTCCTCTTGTTTTCGTCCAACAAATAATGGGAGACCAGCCATTGATTTATCTAAATCTTTTGCTGCAATTTTAACACCACGTGCTGCTTTCACTTCTTTATACTTTTGATATTGATTCTAAACAACGAACCATAAAAATTACACTAGTAATCGATAAAATAAATAATATTTCAATTTTTATATATTGAAATATTACTAAACGTATGGAAAACTTACTCTAACACGTAATTCTCTATTGGCTTCGGGCATTAATAAACCTCGTATTTGTGTAACTATGGGTCCTTCTTGACCAGCTACAATTATTGAATCGCCTTCTCGTAAATACCCGTTAACAAGAACAACATCAATTGTTGTGCCTAAACCTCCAATCGCTTTCACTTCCATAACTGTCGCCTGTAATTCATCGCTGTACGATAATCTTTTAGCCAACGTTGTCTGACATTTTTCAACAATTAATGCAATTAGTGAACCCATACCATCACCAGTATGTGCCGATGTTGGTACCATAGAGAAAAATTCATTTGGATCGGGATTTTTATAATAAACTGCTGCATTTAGTCCCTATAACATTAGTTTAAATAAGATAAAAATATAAAATGATGTACAAATGAAACATACTTGTTCAGCAAATTGCACAATAACTTCATTTGCACGTTTTTCGAATTCATTTTGTGTATTGGGCCCTTGCTCTTGAATAACGAATTCAACATTACGTTTATTGTCACTTTTCCAATTGTACAAGCGATCAATCTAAATAAATGTATGAAACACTTTTGGATATCGCATTATAACACAGTGAACAAAAAATTAAGTTTTTCTCAAGAAGAGAACATTATCGACGTACTGTATACTATTTAGTAAAATAATAAACTTAGATCATTTTAAAATGAATAGAGTTAAAAGGCTTAGTATGTAGCAAAATATATTACTTAAGGATGCTTTTTGTTTCGAAAATTCTCTGAATACTAATATGAATAGGAAAATAGGTCTGACAAACCTTGTTAAGTGCAACAATGAATGGTGTTTGTCTGTCTTGTAGTAATTTAATCGATTCAATTGTTTGTGGTTCTAATCCGTGCATAATATCAACAACCAATATGGCCAAATCGCATAATGACGACCCACGTGAACGAAGATTTTTAAATGATTCATGCCCAGGTGTATCGATAATAAGAAAACCGGGAACAATAAAATCACCTTCCATCGTTACAAGTTTTCGACACATTTTTGTACGGTCTTTGATGGTCTCTAATGGAACATTTGTTGCACCAATTTGCTGTGTAATTCCACCAGCTTCACCATCTTGCACGTGTGTTCGTCGTAAATTATCCAAAATTTTTGTTTTTCCTGTATCAACATGTCCAAGTACACAAATAACGGGTGCACGTAATACTTCTGTTGAACGTTTACGTTCACATTCTTCATGTCGATGTTGTAATCGCAATCTTACACGCTCCATTGGTGATAAATTTTTATCTGGATGTTCATCATATTCATCGTCTGAGGACGATTCACTTTCTGTTTCACTCCCTTCAGTGTCACTTTCCTCACTTTCTTCGCCTTCAGAACCTGCGGCTGCGACTGATTTCAACGCGCTATCTAAAAAGAAACGTAAAATCGAATACATGTATATTTTATACATAACTGGATTTGAAAAAATAATTTCATGTTACATATGAATGAAACATACTTTCCGTTGATACTGATTTTGTTTCATCTGGGTCTGTTCGTTGGACATCTGCGTCCCATGTATCAACAACATCTTCGTCTGACTCTTCCCAAGTCTCTTTTAAACTTGGCTTTAAATTGTCTTGTGTACTCTAAATGTAATCTTGTATTATGAAGCAAACGTATGTATAAGAAAGCCCATTTTACTTTTTGTGATGGTTTTATGCTATTCTGAGTGGTCTCCACGGGAATCGATGGCGTTGTTGAAGTTTCTGTAGTTTGACTTAGTGCAGTATCTAAAACAGTAATGGTATGAAATAATTTTCATTGTGTTTTTTTCTGACAACGTACTTTTATTCCCTGATAGCTTTTTCTTTTTATCATCGTAAATAACACGTTTTTTAGTATCACTAGGTACACTCGAAACTGAGCCATTTGTTGACGATACTTGCTGTTGTGCAAGAGTACGTGCTGGTATTTGTACCCCAGCTGCTCCTAATTGTTGTCTTGCACGTTCTAATTTTTCTCGTTGTTCTTTCGTTAAATAGGTTCCCTGTTCTTTTTGACGTTTTATACGCTCTTTTTCTAAACATATAAAATAAGTGATAACCAAAGTAACTGTGATTGATGATATGAACTAACCTTTTTGTTTCTTCTTTTCTTTACGTTCTTTTTCCAATTGTATTTTTTCCAACTCGTGTCGAATACGTTCTTCTTCTTCACGTTCTTGTGTCTCTTGTGCTGCAATTTGTTCTATTTTTTCTTTTTCGTGCTGACGAAGAGCTTCTTTCATGAGATTTAGCTAAAATTACAAAGTAAAAAATAAAATTTAAAACACAACTTATACTATCATTAACTTCACGCACCGTTTTTGGATCCATACCACCTTTCTTCTTTTCTGTTTGGGCTTTTTTCTTGCTCTTCGATGAAGTTTTCTTTTCTTCACTACCAGGAGCAGCTGCAGTGGTGGTTGTGACAGCAGCAGTTTGATCATCTAAACATAGGGTATTCGAAAAATCCAATCGAAAATAAAATGTGAATAGCTCTTTAACAGCGCAGTCAATTTTCTTGATTTTTCTTTTATCTGATAACATGTTTCTTAGAATTTTGTTTTATATAAAATGAGTCACAACAATTGTTCAAAATGATCACATCACATCAAATTCGGAGTGCTCTTGCTAAAGTTCTAATTTCTTGCGAAAGTCATTCTCCGAATGAAATGCTCCTAGAGAAAATTTTGTAGAGCATCGAACGAGCTTTTCAGCGGTAAAAGAAACTTCTTCTAACTATTTTTACTCGCGTAAAAAAAGCCAAAAACAACATATTTTTTTGTCACACCATTTTCGAGCACTCAACGTTCTTCAAACAACGTCATACTTATAGCTTGAGTACTTCTAGCCTTCCTGTAGATACTCCACTTGCAAAGTTTCCAAAGGTGCCTCAGGGTTTTAAATCGAGTCGGGAGTTCAAACTTGCCAGCAGCCCTTGTGCCTCCACTGAGAAATGTTTCTCATTTCATTTTGTAGAAAATTAAATTCTCTATTCGACAGTATATTTTTAAAATTATTTTACGAAAATCTCTAGGCCAGAAAGTTAAAATTAAAGATTTCAAAAATTTTAAATTGAAACTTTTTAATTGAAAATTTAGTTTTTTTCCAAAATAAAAGCCGAATTCGTGATCAGCGTGAAAAACTGCGTCTGGTGATGGGCTCCTATCGATTTCCTGATGAAAAACAAAAAACAAAACTGGATCAGCGAAGTGTCGCTTTACGTGGACAAACCGATAAACTCTATTGTTTTTTTTAGATAAATGTTTTTTATCAAACGATAAAACCGACAAGTTACCTTCCAGTTTGCCACCTTCATCCGATTGTGGTTTTTTGACATCTGGAACTGCCACTACTTCTGGTTCTTTTTGCTAAATACAAATAAGAAGCCAGCATTGCATAGCAGACGTATCAAATTTAACTTACATGTTCTACATTTTCTGTAATTACTTTGCCATCTATAATAGACGTATTTAAAATCAAAATGTGTTCAAATAAAAGTGCGACGTAAAAATCAAACAAACGTCTCACGGACACTATCCATCCACAAAACTTGCTCATGCCACTCTTCAGTATATCGTACCGTTTCTCTTTTTAAAACTGTCAATTGATTTTACAATCAATCTTCTAACAAATTGTTACTCAGTGCAAGCATCGATGTGTATCATAACTTACCATCTGTAGGTTGCTTTGCGTCATCTTTTTTTCTTTTTCTTTTCTCTTTTTTTGCTTCTTTCTTTCGATCTTTTTCATCAAACTGTTCATCGATTTCCTGGATAAACAAATAACAAAGCCGTTCTTGTAATACAATAAAATATCACATATTTCTCATCTCACTTTTAATATGTCTTCTAGATCTTGCCCTTCATTGAAACCGTTATCAGCAACAGTACCTGAAGTTGTGGTTCCTGTTGCTGATTTATTTTTTTTATCTTTTTTTTTTGATGGTGCTGGTGTTGGGGCTTCAATTGCTGCTAATGCAGCCTCGATATCATCATCAACTTTCTTTGTGGGTAGGTGTTGTTTCTTTTTGCCACCGCCTGCTTTTTTCTTTTCCTTTTGTTTTTGTTGCTGTTCTATTGGTGCTGGTTGTTCTTCATTATTCTCATCGTTTTCGCTACCATTTTCATCCTCCTCAACGTCTAGGAACTAAAATCATTTAATTCAACGTAAAATATATGAATGAAAATAAACGATATGGATAAACTAACTTACACTAAACTTTGACTGGTATGTTGATTCAGTTATATCATCGTCATTGTTCTCAATATCATCTCTAGAAAAAAACCGATAAACCACACATAAAATAGTCACGCACGCACTAACATCTCAGTCGTTTCCTATTGTTCTTTCACACTAGCCCTAGCATGATCTGTTACTCATTTATCTCTTTGAAAAAGATGAAATTTCTATTGCTGCTATGTTTACGTCTCAAGCATACTCCCAGCATTATTGCCCCAACTCTTACTTGTCGTTTTGGGTTTTCTTTGTTTTGGTAGCCATTAATAAGATACATTCGAAAATAATCTAAAAATATATGATTGTAACCAGTGTTTCTAATGCTTGGTGTGGTTTCTGTAGGAGAGCAAGGTGATCTACCACTTTGAAACAGCCAATTTCCCACCCACTTTCCCCTTTGAAAATGGAGAAAACCACTTTGTTTTTGAGACTGTCACAATAAATAGATTGTTCATTGTATATCTCTTGCTTTACATGTTGCTGATTAGATGTCTGTTAGTGATAGGTGGAAATACAACGAAACGCAAGAAAACGAACGAATTGCGTAATTTTCTGTGCTTTTCGGTACGACCATACCGATTGTCGTTTCTTTCGTTCGTGACTGAGGTGGAATAAACGTTATTTTGTATAGAAAA